GGGGTTTCACCATGTTGACCAGGATGGTCTCGATCTCTTGACCTCGTGATCCACCCGCCTCGGCCTCCCAAAGTGCTGGGATTACAGGCTTGAGCCACCGCGCCCGGCCCTTTTTTTTTTTTTTCAAGTATTTTTGGTAGAGACAGGGTTTCACCATGTTGGCTAGTTTGGTCTCAAACTCCTGACCTCAGGTGATCCACCCTCCTCAGCCTCCCAAAGTGCAGGGATTACAGGCATGAACCATGGCGGCCGGTCCTCTGAGGTTCCTGTTTTCTTCTGTTCCTCTGCCTCCCAGAATCTCTCAATTACCCACCAGCACTCCATCATCCAGGAATTTCTCTCAACCCCTTCCTGACATTGTTTATATGATTTTGCTCCCTGCTGGATAAGAGAGGACAGTCTGGGACACGTCCTTAAACTTCTTTCTGAACCAGCTCCCTGGGGACCCTACCCCCTAATGAAGGAAGTTGGGTTGCTTGAGAACGGGTATGGTTTCATTAGCCAAGATGCTAGGCTATCAACCTAGGTAGGAACCTTGTGCCATCCCCTCTGCCCGGCTCTGGGCCTCAGCCTCCTTGTCAGTTACTTGGGAAAGTGTTGAATTCATTATTTCTGGGGGTGAAATGCACCCTCAGGCTGGAGTTAGTAATAATAATGCAATCATTAACTGCTCAGTAGTAAGGGTTGTTCTGAATGCTTAACTATGTAACTTGCACCATTCTAAACACTTCCTATGGTCCATTCATTGTTTTACACTCCAGTTTCGCATAGAAGCCTCACAACAACCCAAAAAAGCAAGTGCTATTAGGATTCCCATTTTGTAGACGGTAATACTGAAGTCCAGAGGGGTTATGTCACTCATCTAATATCACACAACGAGGAAATGGCGGAGCTGGGATCCCAACCAAGGTCTGTATGGTTACGTGACTTCCTCTCAATCCCAATGAGAGTCGTAGCTTACAAAGGAAGGTGTATTTGGGACTCATAGGACTAATTAGGACTAATTAAGAGCCTCCATTGGGTGGGACTCCGACTCAGTCCATGACGTCACGAAGGAGCCCAGTGACGTCGGCTAAGGCGGGCGTGGGAATCCACGCGCCTGCCCGCTTCCGTTTAACGGCACCGCCCCCTGACCCGCCTCACTTCCGTGTATATTTGCATATTCAGCGAACGGACGTCGGTACGTCAGCCTCGACGCGGTGACGTCAGGGTGCGCCTCTGCGATTCCCTCCGCCGAGCGTACGTACTTGCGTACTGACGCACGCATGGCCCCGAGCGGGCGGGGGAGGAGTAGAGAGGCCAAGGCGCCCCGCCCAGTCAGCAAGGTTGCGCGTGCCCCCGTGAGACCGCCAGGATGGTGGTGGGCGCGTTCCCTATGGCGAAGCTGCTATACTTGGGCATCCGCCAGCTCAGCAAACCGCTTGCCAACCGCATTAAAGAGGCCGCCCGCCGAAGCGAGTTCTTCAAGACCTATATCTGCCTCCCGCCCGCTCAGCGTGAGTCTGACCCCAACTCCTTTCAACCTTTTTTCCTTTTTCCAACCCCTCTCAGGTGGTTGCCCAGGGGATGGACTTTTGTCCACGACCAGTCACAGCCCGAACCGGCAAAGTCCAGTGGCCAATAGGGAGGGCTTCTGATAGAGGGGCGTGCGGATAGCCCAATAGTCAGGGCGTGGCGTGGCGTAAGGGGCAGGCCAAGGCGCCACCGCGCAATTTGGAAACACCAGCCAATAGGGGAAGAGAGTGCTTGGAAACTGACGCCCTGTTAAACCAATAGTGTGAGGGATGGGAAAAATTTGGACGGCGGTTTCCGGGACAGAGGAGCTAGGGGAGGGGCTGAGGAGAAACCGGACGGGGTCCTTTGCCCGGCTATCCTTGGGCGACTTGATTTCTAAAGCTGCACCCGCTCCCTCAATTTCCCCGCTGATCTGGGAGGTGGAAGGTGCTTGTATATTATCCGTTGAGGACATCGGCGTGCCTCAGTTTTACTTTCGGCAATAAGTCTGGGTTACGGGCAGGGTTCAGGAGTGAAGTCTGGGTTCTCGGGGCACGGCCTGGGAATCTGGAAGAGGACTTTGACCCAGAAAGGACATTCACCTGTGTACTCATTAATGCGCTCATACGCCGTCCTTTCATTCGGTAGACAGACTGTGCGGGCTTTTCGCTCAGCACTGGGAGATAACACTCCTGATCCGTCATTGTCAACCCAGAGTGGTCGGGAAATTGCGAGGCCTGGAGCTCAGAGGAGCTGGCTGACCCAGGGACAGGAGGCCAGCAGGGCTGCCTAGAAAGGGCCACCCGAGCTCAGATCTAAAGGGCATAGTAAGGTCCAGCGCAGTGGCTCACGCCTGTAATACCAGCACTTTGGGAGGCTGAGCTGGGTGGATCATGAGGCCAGGAATTCAAAGCCAGCCCGGCCAACTTAGCGAAACCCTGTCTCTACTAAAAATACAAAAATCAGCTGGGTGTTTGGTGGCGCTCACCTATAATCCTAGTTACTTGTGAGGTTGAAACAGGAAAATCGCTTGAACCCGGGAGGTGGAGGCTGTAAGTGAGCCTAGATTGTGCGACTGCGCTCCGTCCTGGGTGACTGAGACTGTTCTCCATCAGTCAACCAATAGAAATAAAGGGCAAGTAAACACCCAAAATATAAACTACTTTAAAAAGGTGATCTGTGTGCTATGTGGGAACATAAAATAAGGGAATTTAGCATAATTGGCTGGATCAGGGAACTACTGAAACCACCTTTGCAAAATTATGCCTGAGACAATGAAAGAGATCTAACTTAACTGACTCCAAGCTGTCCTTGTTCATTCTGGGCGAAGGCTGAGCTAACTTTGGGAGAAACTTAGTTTATAGTTTAAACAAACACAGTAACAGCTGTTTCCCAAAGCAGACCTTCTTTTCTGGGGACTAACATTAGCTACAAGATTAGAAATTATGATTTAGGAATCATGCAGCTGGAGGCTACAAGATTCTGGCCCTCCCTAAATGCTCCTGAGATCAGTCAGTGCTTGAGATATTTTGGAGACCCTGCACTTGATGGATCAGCTGGTCCCTCCCAGATAAATAAACTGGCTCATCTGATCTTGTGGCCCCTACACCCGGCCACTGACTGAGCACAAGAAGACATCTCGGACTCCCTATGATTTCATCTCTGACCACTCAGCACTCCTGGCTCACACTGGCCTCCCCCCACCCACCAAGTTAGCCTTAAAAACTCTGCTCCAATGGCAACAAAAGCCAAAATAGACAAATGGCATCTAATTAAACTAAAGAGCTTCTGCACACCAAAAGAAACTAACATTAGAGTGAACAGGCAACAGTACAAAATGGGAGAAAATGTTTGCACCATCTGACAAAGGGCTAATATCCAGAATCAACAAAGAGCTTCAACAAATTTACAAGAAAAAAACAACCCCATCAAAAAGTGGGCAAAGCATATGAACAGACGCATCTCCCAAAGGAGACATTTATGCAGCCAACAAACATATGAAAACATGAAAAAAAGTTCATCATCACTGGTCATTAGAGAAATGCAAATCAAAAACACAATGAGATACCATCTCATGCCAGTTAGAATGGCGATCATTAAAAAATCAGGAGACAACAAATGCTGGAGAGGATGTGGAGAAATAGGAATGCTTTTACACTGTTGGTAGGAGTGTAATTTGTGGAAGACAGTATGGCGATTCAATTCCTCAAGGATCCAGAACTAGAAATACCATTTGACCCAGCACTCCCATTACTGGGTATATTCCCAAAGCATTATAAATCATTCTTTATCAAGACGCATGCACACTTATGTTTATTTTGGCACTGTTCACAATATTAAAGACTTAGAACCAACCCAAATTCCAATCAATGATAGACTGCATAAAGAAAATTTGGCAATTATATACCATGGGATATTATACAGCCATTAAAAAAGAATGAGTTCATATCCTTTGCAGGGACATGGATGAAGCTGGAAATTGTCATTCTCGGCAAACTAACACAACAACCGAAAACCAAACACTGCATGTTCTCACTCATAAGTGGGAGTTGAACAATGAGAACACATGGACGCAGGGAGGGGAACAGTACACACAAGGGCCTGTCGGGGGGTAGGGGGCTGGGGGAGGAATAGCATTAGGAAAAATACCTGATGTAGATGACGGGGTGATGGATGCAGCAAACCACCATGGCACATGTATAACTGTAACCTGCACATTCTGCACGTGTACCCCAGAACTTAAAGTATAATAATAATAAAAACAACAACAACAAAACTCTGCTCCAGCCGGGCCCATTGGCTGATGCCTGTAATCCCAGCACTTTGCGGGGCCAAGGTGGGTGGATCATGAGGTCAAGAGATCAAGACCATCCTGGTCAACATGGCGAAATGCTGTCTCTACTAAAAATACAAAAATTAGCTGTCTCTACTAAAAATACAAAAATTAGGTGGCGCATGCCTGTAGTCCCAGCTACTCCAGAGGCTTAGGCAGAAGAATTGCTTGAACCCAGGAGGTGGAGGTTGCAGTGAGCCGAGATTGTGCCATTGCACTTCAGCCTGGGCAACAAGAGCAAAACTCCATCTCAAAAAAGATTAATAATTAAAAAGAAATAAAACTCCTGCCTCCCGCACAGCCAGCTGTGCATGAGTTACTATGTCTCTTTCAGTTCTCTTGTCTTGATGAATCGGCTCTGTCTAGGCAGCGGGCAAGGTGAATGAACTCCTTGGGTGGTTATACACCATTCATCGCTCCATCCATTCATTACCTCCTTTAGCTAATATTTTGTGAGATTCTGCCCTGTGCCAGGCCTTGTGCTGGCAATGCTGGCAAAACAGCAGGGACCCAGCCAGCACCAATCTGTGCCCTCAAGGAATTCCTAGTCCAGCGGGGATGTATCTATTCTCCATCAGTGGGCAGAGCTGAGATGGTGGAGTCTACTGGGCACCTGCCTGACCTGGCATGGGGTTCCTGGCAGAGGAGACATCTGAACTAGGACCTGAAGGGTGAAGACATCACCGGAACCAGCAGCAAGGAAAATGTTGGGGCAGAGGGAGAGCATACACAAAGCCCACATGGTTAAGGGAGTGCACCTTTTCCCCTTTGTAAGTCTGGATGCTTAAAGTTTGCTTTCCAGGGCCCAGGATTCTAGGTTCTTTGGGTTTGGTGGGGTCTTTGTTGGGGCTGCAGATCATAGAGTGGGAAAGTATTAGATTTCACAGGTACCAAAGTGCTTTCCTGTTAGCCGTCTCATTTGACCCCCACAACTGTTTTGTCCCCATCTGAGGAAAGAGGAATGACTTCCTCTGGTTTATAGAAGGGAAAATTGAGGCCTTGAGGGCCAAAGTTAATCGCTCAGGTCATCTGCGGAGATTGGTGCCAGAGGTGGAACTTTGGGTTCTGGATTCCTGCACCCAGTTTCTTTCCTCTCTGCCTATCTTCCAAACACTGTGGCATTCTTAGCATTGTGGTTTAGAAAATGGCCTCTGGAGTCAGACTGACTTGGCTTTGAATCCCTGCCCAGACTGGTGACTCTGGGCACGTCATTTAGCCCCTCTGAGCCTCAGTTTCCACTTCTGTACAGTGGGTATGATGTGATAATCACAGTAATGGCCTTGCATTTTGTGCCATGCCATGTGCTAAGCACCTCCCCGCATCTGGTATTGAGTCCTCACCAATCCTGATGAAGTAGATACTGTTATTATTCTTGTGTTGTGTGTATACCATATATGCATTATGCTGTGAGTAATACTTATTGTGCTGTTGTGAAGATTAAGTAAATGGATGTAAAATGTGAAGTCAGTGCCTGGCATGGGGTCATGGCTGTCATGTAGATGTTATAGATACAACAGCCAGGAAGAAAACAAAACAGCTTGCCTTCAGGTACCTTACACTCTTGTGGAAGAGGAAGCCAGACAATAAATTAAATAAATAGTTGGCCAGGTGCAGTGGCTCACACCTGTAATCCCAGTACTTTGGGAGGCTGAGGCGGGCGGATCACGAGGTCGGGAGATCGATACCATCCTGGCCAACATGGTGAAACCCCATCTGTACTAAAAATACAAAAATTAGCTGAGGGTAGTAGCATTGACCTGTAATCCCAGCTACTCAGGAGGCTGAGGCAGGAGAATCGCTTGAACCCAGGAGGCTGAGGTTGCAGTGAGCTGAGACTGTACCACTGCACTCCAGCCTGGGCGACAGAGTGAGACTCCATCTCAAAAAAATTAAAAAATAGTTAAAATGTGAAGCATGTTAGATAGCAATAATTGCCCTAGGGAAAAAATTTACTATCATGCCTCTTTAATTTCCTTTAATTTACAACAGGGTTTGGCAATCTGGCCCACTGTCTGACTTTGTAAATAAAGTTTTATGGTAACACAGCCACTCCCATTTGTTTATGTATTGTCTGTGGCTGCAGAATTGAGTTTGTATGGCCTACATAACCTAAACTATTATTTATTTATATATTTTTGAGACAGGGTCTTGCTTTATCTCCCAGGACGGAGTGCAGTGTTGTGACCCGGCTCACTGCAGCCTCCATCTCCCAAGTGATTCTCCTGCCTCAGCCTCCTGAGTAGCTGGGACTACAGGTGTGCACTACTACTCTCAGCTAATTTTTTGTAGTTTTAGTAGAGTCAGGGTTTTGCCATGTTGGCCAGGCTGTTCTTGAATTCCTGACCTCAAGTGATCCACCCACCCCGGCCTCCCAAAGTGCTGGTATTGTAACCATCCAAGGGGTTCACCTTGCCTGCTACCCAAACAGACACAATTCATCCAGACAGGGGAATTGCAGTAGAGGAAGAATCATTCATGCAGAGCCAGCTGTGTGGGAGACTGGAGTTTTATTATTACTCAAATCAGTCCCCATTTGGGGAGCAGAGTTTTTAAGGATAACTTGGTGGGGTAGGGGTGGGAGCCAGTGAGCTAGCGGTGCTGATTGGTCAGAGATGAAATCACAGGGAGGCGGAGATATCTTCTTTCGCTCAGTCAGTTCCTGGGTTGTGGGGGGCTACAAGATCAGATGAGCCGGTTTATTGATCTGGGAGGGGCCCGCTGATCCATCAAGTGCAGGGTCTGCAAAATATCTCAATCACTGATCTCAGGAGCAGTTTAGGGAAGGTCAGAATCCTGTAGCCTCCAGCTGCATGATTCCTAAACCATAATTTCTGGTCTTGTGGCCAGTGTTAGTCCTAAAAAGGCAATCTAGTCCCCAGGCAAGAAGGAAGTCTGCTTTGGGAAAGGGCTATTTGTTTAAACAATAAACTATAAACCTTCTCCCAAAGTGAATTCAGCCCAGGAATGAACAAGGACAGCTTGGAAGTTAGAAGCAAGATGGAGTCAGTCAAGTTAGATCTCTTTCACTGTGTCAGTCATAATTTTGCAAAGGCAGTTTCAGTGTTACAGGCGTGAGTCACCATGCCCCGGCCTCAAAATCTAAAATATTTACTCTCTGCCCCTTTAAAGGAAGAGTTTGCTGATCCTGCTTTAGAATAGTATCCCTGCCCTTGTTTTTTATGACATTGACATTGGAGCCAGTTGTCTGATTGATTGCCTGTCGTGCATTCTGGAGTCTCCTGATTGCTTCCCCTGATTGGATTTGCGTTCCACAGATTTAGGTGCCTCCTAAGGACATCAAGGACATCCCCTCAGGGGGGCCATGAGGTCTGTTTGTTCCGTCATTTGTAATGGTAATTTGGGTGGCTTGGTTAAGGTGTAACCATGTCAAGAACCTTTCCTTTTCCTCTTAGTAATGAATAAGCAGTAGATTTGTTTAGAAGGTAGAGCCGGCAGGATTTCCTGTGGATTGGGTGTGAGACAGCTGGCTGGAGGAGGGGCAGGTTGTGCAGAAAGATCTGGAGCTCAGTCAGGGACAGGTGGAGCTGGAGATGCTCCCAGATATTGCAATGCACTGGCTTCTTGCATTTACACCTTTTAATTACGTTATTATTGTCTTCACACTGCTAATTGCCCTTTGCTCTGGCCCTCAGCCATGGCATTTGGAATTTCCCAGGGTGCACTGGCGGCCCTGCATTCTCTCACACCAGACATCCTGAGCTGACCAATAAATCCAGTATCTATCTGTACCTTTGGCTGAGATGCTTTTGACTCAGCAGGCTGGGCCCAGCTGTCTCACAGGAGAGGCTGGAGCTGTAGCTGTGGCTGCCCGAGGAAAGAACAGTACATGCTAGAAGCATAAATCATCGATGATGCACCATGCTGGGGAGGCAGAGATCTTTTTAAACACAGAATTCCTTTGTTTAAATTATTTTAGCCCCAAAGTAAAGGAGGTAGGTGATTCGACCAGGTTGAGCCCACGCCTGCAGAGTGCACTTTTGGCGCTTCCAGGGAAGCTGTGAGATGTCTCTGGGCAGTGGGAAAATACCAGCTCATCTCTGCTTATTCCTTTGGCATGTGCTGGCCCGTTTTCTGGTTTACCACACACGATAGGGAGTAGAGTGACTGGCCCCCAAAGATGTCCACATCGTAATCCCAAGAACCTGTTGAATATGTCACCATGCACAGCAAAGGTGACTTTGCAGCTGTGATAAAGTGAAGGATTTGGGGATGGGGAGGTGATCTTGAATGATGCAGGTCAGGTCAGTGTGATCACAGGGGGCCTTATAAGGGAATGAGGGAGGCAGGAGAGGGAGTGATTTGAAGATGCTGCCCCGCTGGCCTTGAAGATGGAGGAAGGGAGGCATGAATCAAGGAATGCGGGCAGCCTCTGGAAGCTGGAAAAGCCAAGGAGATGGATTCTCTACTGGAGACTCCTGAAAGTTACACAGCCCTGCCGACACCTTGAGGTTAGCCTAGTGAAAGCCATTTTGAACCCCCGCCTTTTTTTTTTGAGACAGAGTTTCATTCTTGTTGCCCAGGGTAGAGTGCAATGGCACAATCTCAGGTCACTGCAACCTCTGCTTCCCAGGTTCAAGTGATTTTCCTGCCTCAGCCTCCTGAGCAGCTGGGATTACAGGTGCCCGCCACTTTGCCTGGCTAATTTTTTCTATTTTCAGTAGAGCCGGAGTTTCACCATGTTGACCAGGCTGGTCTTGAAGTCCTTGAACTCCTTCACCTCAGGTGATCCACTGGCCTCCCAAAGTGCTGGGATTATGGGCATGAGCCACCACGCCTGGCTCCTTTTTTTTTTTTTTTTTTTTTTTGCGATGGGGGTCTCACACAGTTGCCCAGGCAGGAGTACAGTGGCATGATCTCAGCTGAAACCTCTGCCTCCTGGGTTCAAACGATTCTCCTGCCTCAGTCTCCTGAGTAGCTGGGAGATTACAGACGCATGTCACCATACCTGGCTAATTTTTGTATTTTCAGTAGAGACAGGGTTTCACTATGTTGGCCAGGCTGGTCTTGAACCCCTGACCTCAAGTGATCCACCCACCTCAGCTTCCCAAAATGCTGGGATTACAGGTCTAAGCCACTGCGCCTGGCCCCCATTTCAGACTTCTGACTTCTGGAAATGTAAAATAATAAATTTGGGGCAGGTACAGTGGCTCATGCCTGTTATCCAGCACTTTAGAAGGCTGAGGCAGGAGGATCACTTGAACCCAGGAGTTCAAGACCAGCCTGGGCAACAAAGCTAGACCTTGTCTCTACTAAAAACAGAAAACAATTAGTGGCTCGTGGTGATGCATGCCTGTAGTTTCAGCCACTCAGGCAGCTGAAGCAGGATTGCTTGAGCCCAGGAGAATGAGGCTGCAGTGAGCTGTGACCGTACCACTGCACTCCAGCCTGGGTGACAGAGCAAGACCCTGTCTCAGATAGTAATAATAATTAATTTGTGTTGTTTTGAGCCACTGTATTTGTGGCAGTTTGTTGTAGTGGCCGTGGGAAATGGATACATCAGGATTATTCATTCAGGTTGCTGAGGTCATTTTTTCAGAAGTGCTCAGGTTTGTGGCCATTCTAAGGAATTAGGCCGTGGACTTCGTTTCTTTCTTTTTCTTTCTTTTTTTTTTTCTACATAGCCATCTGATCCAACACTTGGTGGCTTCACACAGTAACTCTTAGCTGGGTGCAGTGAATTACCTCAGGCCAGGAGTTCGAGACCAGCCTGGGCAACATGGCAAAACCCCTTTTCTACTAAAAACACAAAAAATTCGGCAGATGCCTGTGTTCCCAGCTACTCGGGAGGCTGAGGGAGGAGAATCATTTGAACCCAAGAGAGGCAGACGTTAAAGTGAACTGAGATCATGCCACTGCACTCTAGCCTGGGCAACAGAGCAAGACCCTGTCTCAAAAAGACAAACAAAAAACCCAGTCACTCTTAGTTTCTGTTAGCTCTGTGGCTTGTCTGGGCTCAGCTGGACAGTTCTTTTGCCCGGTGCTGCTTGGCGGGCTCTCATCCAGGTGTAGGCGGAGGTGGCTGGGCTGGAGTCATCTGGAACTGTCACTGGGATTGCGGTGTTGGTTCCCTCTCAGTGTAGTCTCTGGGCCTCTCTTCTCCATGTGGTCTGTTCTACAGGATATCTCACATGGTTTCTCAGGACTCCCCAAAAGCCAGATTTTCATGCAGGAAGCAGCAGAAGCTGCAGGTTACTTAAGAGCAAGGCCTGGAACCTTCCGGCATCATTTCCGCCACCCTCTATTGATCACAGCAGCCCCAGGCACAGACTACAGTGAATGTGGGAAAGGACTGCACAGGGTGTGATACGGAGGGGTCCCCAACGGCAGTCTGCCACAGAGTAGGCACTCTCGGCTTTGGATCTTGGCACTGCCACTTACTAGCCGTGTGACTTGGAGCAGGGAGCTTGACCTCCCTGAGCCTCCATTTCCATATTTATCAAATGGGGTAATAATAGAACTTATCTCCTAGGATTCTTGTGAGGATGCATGAGGATAGTGGATAGGAGAGCCCCGGCCCAGGACATGCCCATCTGGTTGCTAGTACAGGCTGGGAATATACATGAAATCCTTTTTTTTTTTTTTTTTTTTTTGAGATAGAGTCTAACTCTGTTGCCCAGGCTGGAGTGCAGTGGCACAATCTTAACTCATTGCAGCCTTCACCTCCCAGATTCAAGTGATTCTCCTTCCTCAGCCTCCTGAGTAGCTGGGATTACAGGCACCTGCCACCACGCACAGCTAATTTTTGTATGTTTAGCAGAGATGGGTTTCACCATGTTGGCCAAGCTGGTCTTGAACTCCTGACCTCAGGTGATTTGCCTGCCTCGGCCTCCCAAAGTGCTGGGATTATAGGCATGAGCCATGGTACCCAGCCATGTTTTATTTATTTTTTTTGATGCGGAGTCTCACTCTGTCACCCAGGCTGGAGTACAGTGGTGCGATCTTGGCTCACTGCAACCTTCGCCTCCTGGTTTCAGGCAGTTCTCCTGCCTCAGCTTTCCGAGTAGCTGGGATTACAGGCTCACACCACCATGCCCAGCTAATTTTTTGTATTTTTGGTAGAGACGGGGTTTCACCATGCTGGCCAGGCTGGTCTTGAACTCCTGACCTTGTGATCTGCCCATCGTAGCCTCCCAAGGTACTGGGATTACAGGGGTGAGCCACCGCGCCCAGCGCATGTTTATTTTTTATTAACAATTTTTTTTTTTGAGGCGGAGTTTTGCTCTTGTTGCCCAGGCTAGAGTACAATGGCACGGTCTCAGCTCACTTCAGTCTCCACCTCCCAGGTTCAGGTGATTCTCCTGTCTCAGCCTCCCAAGTAGCTGGGATTACAGGCATGTACTACCATGTCTGACTAATTTTTTTTTTTTTTTTT